GAAAATCAAAACTCATGGGCCAGCAAGATGGCTAGGTGGGTAAAACACTTTGCCTCGAAGCCTGATGACGGAGGCCCAACTCCTAAAATGTGTCTTCAATGTCCACGTGCCATGGCATGCACACACACGTGAGCATTTGCACACGCACACGCACACCCTAAAAAAATATATACACAAAAAACACATATACAAATAAATGTAATCTTAGACATTTTTAAAATATTTTTAAAAATAAAATGTTTGCTTTTTGAAATAACACTAGACTGCAACGATTTCCTGAGACTCCTCCAGCACTGCCCTACCCATTTAATCTTCTCAATTTAGCTTTATATCTTTTCTGACTCCAGGACAGGAGAGCAATGTTTGATGAACTCAAATCATACCCAGCATGTACCAACTCTTTGATTCGAGTTTTTAAAGTATCTATGCTTGCATCCAAAACCCTAGGGTTTTCGATTATTCGTGAAATGCTGATTTTTTCTTCTAGTAGGCAGTCTATTTTATCATTAAACTTTTTCTCTGATAAGAAGACCATGTTGAGATAGCTTAGGACAAACTTCTGTACCTCCTCGTCAGTGCATCCGAGAGAGAGCAGCTTCTCTTGGATATTTGCATAGTTTCTTTTGGTACAATCGTTGGAAAGATCTAGGATTCCAGCTCCTGGGCCACATATCAGAAGCAGCAGATCCTCCGTGTTTAAGTTGAAAGTTGACTGCAAAAATTCAATGTTAGCTTTCACTCGTTTTGTGCTCTGAGTTAAGATGGAAGGATTTTTAGAAATTATCTTCCTGACAAAATCTGTGGGATCGTTGTGACCTAAGGATACACCGGTCTCCTGCAAAAACTCAACCATTTGTTTATTCAAATTCAGGCTATTGGAGAAGGTTCTAGGAGCCCTGGTCAACAGTCGGCAGAGACATTTATTGGTCAATCCAACAGAGCAGAGGAACTTTATATTATTCTCTAAGTTTAGGTTGTTATTAGACCGAAAAAAGGATTCAGGAGAACGCTCCAAAATATTTACAATTTCAAGGTCTGATGCCATAATCTTCCTCCACAGCTCCCATCGCTTTGAAAGACCTTCAGAAGTGCGTGTTATGGCTCGTGGGTACCTTGAGATGATGCTACCAATCACTTTGTCACTCGCTCCTTTGGAAAGAAGGAATGTCCTCAGCTCCTGCTCGTTCGTACCCACCCTGTTGAAAACTCCAGGCTGCCGTCTCCTTGCCAAGTCAATATCAACTCCCATGGTGAGCAAGTTGTTCAGCAGGTCCTCATTCTCCGAAGGTTCCCTGTCCTCACTGCCACATTTCCCACTACAAGGCCGAAATGAAACTGACTTGAGAAAAATTTCTGCTGAATATTGGATCGTCCAACCTCTTGAACCAAAGAGGAAGCTCTTTCCCATACTCCAGACTTTTCTTGACGCCATCATCAGATAGCCCAAAGTTTTTCAAATGCTGTGTAAAATAACATACAGTGTTAGCATGCAATATTATATGAATGCCTGTGTTAAAGAGCCTATGACAATATTAGGATCCCTTAACCACAATGGGCCTTTCCAGCAGAAAACACCGATTCCTTCAACTTTCCTGGTTCTGCACTCACACTCTGCCTCACTACGTCTATTGGATCCCCAGGGACAGAGGGCTCTCAACAGAAAGAGAAGCAGAAGGGCATCACTGCTGCTGCTGCTGCTGCCCCAAACTGCCCTGCCCTTTACTGTTCTTTTCACTTCACTGTGCCTGTTTCTTCCATCCGGTATGACTTCTCCACCCGTCTTTTTCTGGTTTCTACATCTTGGTTTCTTCCTATTACATGGCATTTTCACTACCATCTTGCCTTTCAACTCGGCAGATATCTGACCTGCCCCTACCCACAGACAGTAGATTTCTTTGCTTCTGACCACCTTGATTTCAAACTCTAAATGTAGCCCTAAAAAAACAACATGTCTGATTATCTAATTTCCATCTTCAGTGTCTTTTTCTGGATTTCTGTGATCCCTTTAAATGGATCACAGTGATTCTTAACCTATCCAAATCTCTGGACAACAGCTGCCAATATCAGTTTACCAAATTGTTTCCCTGACCGCAATGCAATATTTCTAAGTTAATTTCCATCTTCAAAACAGGATGGAGTATTCAATGGTATAGCACATGCTTAACATGCATGAGGCCTTGAGTTCAATCTCCAATACAAAAACAGAAAAGGAGGAACTGGTTTTCCAATTTAAGGGTTCTTAGGTCTTAAATCTGGGACAATTGGCTGAGGTGCCAAATTAACATGTCACAGCCAACCTGGCTGCCATGTTCTCCCAGCATGCCCCAGTCCCTACAAGTTGCCACACCCCAACCCTACCTTGAATGCTCCATCCAGCCCAGGGGCTGGGCTGCCCTCCCCACAGTTGCTCTTCCCTATATAATCCAGCTATTTGGCTCCGCTGGCCCTTTTAATCCTTTCTGGGCATTTTTGCCTTCTGGTCTCTTGGCTTCCACACAAGGTTCTCCTCTCTCCCTCTCCCCCATCTCCTCACCTCACAGAGTCCGGCTCAGTCTGCTGGTCATGCCCACCTTGAACTCTTTCAAATGCCTCTGGCTGTTTGGCTGTTCTCTTCCTCATATCTACAATAAACCTTCTTCTCCATCACACCTAGGTACAAACATGTCCTCCTTTTACTTCTGAGTAGCTCTTAGTAGGTCAAGTACTCCAATGATGGCCATATACCCAAAGGTATATAGGTAAATCCAATTGAACTCAATGGCTTGAGAGGGAGGAGAGAGAGAGAGAGAGAGAGAGAGAGAGAGAGAGAGAGAGAGAGAGAGAGAGAACACAAAGTTGAACGGTTATGGAATGGGATGAGAATGTGGGAGGAGTAGAAGGAGGGGTGAATATAATCAAAATTCTCAAGTAATTAATAAAAAAATATACATAAAAAAACAAAAGGCAAAAGGCTCTAGCTTGTACAGTTCAACCTTTTTCCTTCCAGATCCTCTTGGGTGACCTCTGCTGGAGAACACTATCAGATGACAATCAGACAAGTTTTATAAAAAATTTTATAAATAAGAGTGTAAGATCCAGTGAGATAAGGAGAAAAAAACAGCATAATTCTTAAATTGTACTTGTCTTATCCTGTGAAAATTTCTGCTTTTATACCGGGCAGTGGTGGTGCATGCCTTTAATCCCAGCACTTGGGAGGTAGAGGCAGGTGGATCTCTGTGAGTTTGAGGCCAGCGTGGTCTACAAGAGCTAGTTCCAGGACAGGCTCCAAAGCAATAAAGAGAAACCCTGTCTCAAAAAACCAAAAAAAAAAAAAATAAAAATTAAAAAAAATCTGCATTTAGTCAATTTTCCTCAGATTATTATACCATAGTAAACAGGTAAATGTGCCACAGAATATTCGAGAGAAATTCTAATACAGATAACCAAAAGTATGCAAAAAGGTATGCCAAGACAGCTAAAAATAAAATCTGTTAGGGTTTCTGTTAGATCTGTCACAATTAGATTTTGTTTCTCTTTATATAACTTATCCTCAAGCAAATACTGTCTAAATCATTCAACATGGACAAGACTGAACTGGGCATATCTATGCAGCCCCCAAACTAGCTCTCCTCTGATTAACGTCATCTGCGATAAGCACCGTGAGGGCTGATTGTCTTCTTCTGTCTTATCCCTACAATCATCAAACCGTGCATCAGCTTCACTCACAAACACTAACAAGGAAATCTTGTTCTGAATCCTAGTCCATTCTAATCTCTTTGTCTTCCCTGTCTTTTCATCATTTTAACTGACATAACAAATAATGGATTTCACCCTATAATAGTCCTTTTCCTCCTCCAATGTTCCTCTTTTGCTTCTATGTAAAACACATGCACATACGTAGATAACTTATATAAATCTAAAGTCTACATTAGAAACATGCCCTATATTATTTCCCCCCATAATTCTCCTATTTCCCTATCCCCTTCTTATTAGATCCCTTCCTCCCCAGCCAGTACTTTCCACTTTCGTAAGACACACACCCTTTGTGAGTTTCACTTATATTGTCAAACTGTCTTTTCCTTCAGATAGGGTCAATTTCTGGAATCCTAGCTGTACAGCAAAGTCTTGCATAAACACAATCTCCCTTTTAAGAGTTGTTGAGCTGAACCTGTAACCTCCGGCAAGGTGACTGCATAGCCTAATGCAGTCTTTTTTAAGAAAGTAAATAACAAATATTTACTTCTATTTTCCACTCAAAAGAAATCATTTTTTAAAAAGTAATGCTAAGTTTAGCGAATAACATGCAAATATTGGTGACTGTAATTAGTGACTCTGAGGATTTATGTTCCCTTCTGTCCCACGATGGACAGCTAACGGGCTTTTTTAAAAAATAGGTAATTCCTAGCAGTGGGGTACTACAATCCAGCTAATCCTCTGACACGGCATTTAAGTATAGAATTTTTTTACAGAACTGCTTCTTCACATCTTATTTGTCTTACAATTGGAGACTTCGGATATCCCCAGAAAAGGTAAGGAGCTGATATTTCTACCATCGCACCTCCAATCCGGAAAAGAAAAGGCGAGATATCACCAGCGAGGTAGAGAATAAAGAGATTGATTATCGTGTGAGTCTCAGTACCTCCCGCAAACTGAATATTTCTCACTCATGAAGAAAAGAAAACGGCAACAAAACGCCCACCTCCGTGCGAGCTGGGGAAAGGCAGTGGAATCACAACGGGTAACCAGAACTCAGCGTTTCATATACATTTTCTTCTTAATCCCCCACATACACAGCGACGTAAAGGGTGGGCACTGTCCCTAAAGTTACAAATTCTGACACAATCCGAGCTCCTTTTGCTATCTGAAGTGGAGAGGACTTGAGGAGTCTACACTCAAAACCACCTTAGTTCCTCATCACAGGCTTTCCTTATCCCCAGCGCAATTCTGCAAAGGCCTTTAGCAATAGCACTGTAGAGCACAGACACGCGACCCACTTATAATCACTGCAGCAGCTCCCAGCCTCACCCGGAGCGATACATAGGACTCGCGCGGTAACAAAACTCGCGGCAGGCGCCTTTTACTTCCGCTTCTAGAGGACCAGGAGAGATGGAAGGGCGGAAGTAAAGACTAACTTCCGGCCTCCAGCCGGGCGCAGGTGACGTCATCGGATCTGCGTCCCCAGGCGGCGCAGGCCTAAATTCCCGCGAATCTGACCCTGGCTGCCCAGCAGGGGGCGGCAAGAGACCGTTCTGGATGCTAGCAAGGGCCTCGAGCTGGTTTAGAAAGCAGGGCGGGCTAAGGCTTCACCTTGCTGGGGTTGGCATTCCCTCTGTACCAAGGAACAGGTTAGGATTTTTATCTCACTCTTCCTCTTAGATTGTTTTATCGGTCATTAATTTCTTTTGCATTTTTCTGTTTGGTTTGGTACTTGTAAGACTAAAGGTTTCTCTTTGGGAATTTAAATTACCAATAATCGGTTTACCTGGTAAGTGAAGCCACCTGAATGTTCATTGCTCTGCCTGTCTCCGCATTTTCTTCTGTGAACACCAGAGCAGGCGTAAGTCCCTATGAAAGGGACGCCATTGTGAAAAAGTGTAGCTGAGATATTGGAGGGTTTGGGGAATAGGAAGACCAAAGGTAGAGGGTGAAAGGTGAAGAGCAAGTAAGAAAATGATTAGTAATGACCCGGCAGAAGGAGAGACTGAAGTAAGTAACGAATTGGCAAATCGAATGTCTTTGTTTTATGTTGAGGAAACCCTGATGCTGAAAACCTTGAGTAATGGAAAAAACAAAATTTGTAGCAGCGAATAAAAACTTATCAATAGAAAACACCACAGATTGTTTAAACCCCATGCCAAGTATATGCTGAGTCATGCCGGAGACACCAGAATACAGAAACAGATTTACCAATGAAGCAACAGTACCGTTCTGCTTGAGTGTAATAATACTCTAGAACCATGTCCAACCAGGGGGAGCATTTGCCAAAACTTCCAAAATTGTTATGAAAGGTTGTTTCAAAGTTCCTAAGAACCAATCTTTTAATCTCAGGGCTCCAACTAAACGTTTGAATGACTAGACTACGAGACTACCTCCACGGAAATCAGGTCTGTGCTGATGGAGCAGTGTTCGTTAGTGACAGAGAATGCAGCCTTGCTTGCCGTTACATCTCCTTATGCCTAGGGTTCTTCCTTTCCTCGGCTCCTCTTTCCACTTTTCAGCTATGTTAAAGACTTATTTTCTGTGCCAAAATCAGTAAAGTTATAATTTTTTTTCTTTTTTGGTTTTTCGAGACAGGGTTTCTCTGTGGCTTTGGAGCCTGTCCTGGAGCCAGTCCTGTAGACCAGGCTGGTCTTGAACTCACAGAGATCCACCTGCCTCTGCCTCCCGAGTGCTGGGATTAAAGGCGTGCGCCACCTTAAAGTTATAATTTGAAAGGGATTTTATTCTTTCAAAACAGGCCCTCGAAGGCAGCTAATTATGCATTCTTAGGAATGTAATCTTAACGGTATTTAAATGGTCCCCAGAACTTCAGATTCTTCTACTTTTTGTCCCATTTCATCTATGTTCTGTCCTATCTCCACACTGATATCTCTAACACAAGCATGAGTCTCAACAAAGTAAGTTTTCATATAGGTCCCTGCATGGTTGGGGAAGTGGGGAATACCCCACTCTGTCAAAACCTATTTTCCCAAAAAAGGCAGTTTATTACCCTGTTTTTCAGAGAAGGTAAACATAAAGAGTTAAATAATTAGTCTTCTATCTTACAGGTACAATGTAAGCAGTAACTAGACCCATGGTATCTGAAACCAGAGTCTCAGCCCAGAACCAAACTCTACTCATCTCTGCAGCTCGGAATACAATCCCTCCCCTAGTGAGTACGTAGAAATGGTAGTTGGAGTAAAATGAGCCTGCAATTTGGAGAGTTCAGAACGTTGTTAAACCTGAGAACCTCGTGGATAAAAGACTAAATCCACAATTGTCCAATTAAAGCAAGCTGTATTTGGAGGTGCACCTGGGACTGGCAAGCTCGCTGTCTCACCCTAAGTCAGGATTTTAGAGAGCAGCCCAACCAGCCTCTTAAAGTCTCTTTATAGGAGAGATAAAAAATATTCCAGGGTGGAGAAAGTCAGCTGCTATACATTGTTAGAAAGTTACAATGAGCCGGGTAGTGGTGGTTCATACCTTCAGTCTCAGCACACCGGAGGCAGAGGAAGGCGGATATCCGTTAAGTTTGAGTTCGAGGCCAGCCTGGTCTATAGAGCAATGTTCCAGGACAGGCTCCAAAGCTATACAGAGAACCCCTGTCTTGAAAATAAAGTTACAATGAAAGGGAAGGAACAAGGCTAAGGATATACATCATGGGCCTTGAGTAGCAAGTTAGTGTAGGTTGTAAGCTACATGTTTTGTAGCTTACATCAGATCCAAAAAACAGGAACTTATTCTTAATTACAAATGGAAACTTTAGCTTTGAGAATTTTACACAGGACAAACGGCTTATTTTTTAACTACAAACAGAAACTTAACCTACATAAGACAAACCTTTCTCTCTCTCTCTCTCTCTCTCTCTCTCTCTCTCTCTCTCTCTCTGTGTGTGTGTGTGTGTGTGTGTGAGTGTGTGTGTGTGTGTGTGTGTGTGTATGTGTAGTGGTATATTATTCGTGTTTTAATAAATAAAGCTTGCCTGAAGATCAAAGGTCAAAACAGCCACACTAGTCAGCTATACAGGCTAGGAAGTGAAGGCATACACCTTTAACCCCAGGACTCAGAGACAGAAGCAGACTGATCCTTGTGAGTTCAAGGCTACTCTGGGCTACACCAGGTCAATCTAGAAACATCCCCAGGTGGTGGTGTTTCACACCTTTACTCCCAGTGTTTGGGAGTCACACACATTTATACCAGCACTAGGGAGGTGGAGAGAGTAGTGATACGGCTGGGTGGAGAGAAGAATATAAAGGGGAAGAGACAGCAACTCAGTCAAGTGTGGAGTCTGAGGATTTGTGGAAACAGGATCTTGTCCTTTTGATTTGAATATTTTGTAGAGGTAAAAGGTCTCTGTAGTGGTTAACTGCTTTGCTTTTCTGATCTTCAGATTGAACACCAATATTTGTCTCGGGGTTTTATTATTCGTGCAACATGTGTGTGTTTCTCTCTCTCTCTCTCTCTCTCTCTCTCTCTCTCTCTCCCTCTCCCTCCTTCCCTCCCTCCCTCCCTTCCTTTATTTCTTCCACCCACCTCTGTTCCCACCTCTCCCTCTCTTCCCATCCCCCAATCCACTACTCCTCTGTTTTAAACAGGAGCATCTTGATTACAAATAGAAACCTTAAGTTGCAAGGACTTAGCAGGACAAGCAGGAACTTATTTTTAACTGTCTTTAACTGCAGACAGTACCTTTAATCTGAAGGGTATGTTTTTCCCATTTTGATGTATTAATTTGCAAGGTATATTGTCCCTGTTTTGGTCTTACAATATTCAAGTCTAATATGTCTAATTAGCATTTTGTGTCATTTTCATGCCTATCTGCAGCTTTCTGCATTTTACTAGTATTAACTAATATATTGACTATGAAACTCTTGTTTCTTTGGCATTAGTTGGCCATTCTATACTTATGCAACTGGAGAAGCAGTGAAACAGTAGAAATACTGCTTGCCTTAACATGTCTGGTGAGATACAGTTTAAAACACAGGGCTGTATCAACTCATATCCAAGGGCACATCTAGTTCTAAAATTCTGAAACTCTATTCTGTGGGATCTTTTCTCTCTCAGCACCTAAGTAGTGTGGTGATTTATTAAGAAGGTGTCTTATTTTTCTTCCTATCCCATGGACTCAAATCAATGCAAAAGAGGAGATGGGAGGTAAGTAGGCACTACTTATCAATGACAAACAAGAGGAGTAGATCAGTGCCAAGCCAAACAGCATGGAGATTTGGCTTACTGCCCAGCGTTCTCAGTTTTTATAGTGTCTACTGCCACGTATCCTCTGGATTCCTGCGGGCCACTAGCAAGCCAAGTGGACATAAAGTGTTCCCACCACAGAAGCACGTGCGGAGTTTCCCACCACAGAATCCCCTGCAGGATTTCCTTCACCACTTTCACCATGAGCTAGACGCTTAACATTCTCTCCTCTGTGTGGCCCCCATCACTGCAACCCTTGCAGCATATTAATATTGCCAGGGAGCCTTTTCTAGGGAATGAAGCCCAGCCGTCTATGCCAGGGGATTCTCATTTAATTGGTAGGATCAGATAATGGTATGATTTTGTGGGATTTTTTTTTCTTCTTGGAAAAGATTCTAATTAACAGCCAGAATTAAAAATCCTTTGAAACTAGAGTCCTTTTGTACCCATATTCCTCAACTAAACTCAATATGGAGGCTAATTCTATTCCTAATCAAGGAGAATTCAAGGAATTTCATGTGGTGCAATAACACCACAGTTCAGTACTCGAGTTTAATCCCATAGAGGCCTGGACTCTTGGTTTCAGTAATTCCACATGGTTGCTGTAGTTAATCATGATCAAACTCTTCTGGCAGGGTCTATCTTTGACCGCTTCATATGTTCCAGGGTAGGAGTGCGTGGATTAGAAATGTTAGGCAGGAAAAACAGATATAGAAAAGAAATACAGAGACAGGACAGAGTCAGGAGGGCAACGTGGTGAATACTGAATCTGTCTGTGTTTATTCGTATTATCTTTAAATACCCCAATCCAAAAGAGGGGAAGAAAGCAAAAGACTTTGTGTTTATCATGATGCAAAGAACAAAGTGTCTACTAGGTCAAGATATTCTGCTAGTAGCCACACCTACTAGTAGTCAAACCTCCTGTCAATAACCTTGAAGGAGCAAGACTAGGCCTGAACTCTGACCTTTACTCAAGGTGGAATGGGTCCACTTCTGTGGACTCCGACACTCTTCCCTCAAAGGAAAATGAGGGGTAGAAAGGGAATCAGTTGCTGGGACAGCAAAGCAGCAGATGCTTGTCCTTCTGCCCCACATCCTGCTCAAACCACTTTAACAAAGTTGTCCAACATGAAGTGTCACTTAGTGGCAGGAATCTGAGGGAAATTACACGAGGGAGCTGCCCTTCAGTAACACCTCCAGTCAAGCTGCCAGGTGGTTCTCAGCATTTCTCTCTGTCCGTCTGTGGTAGAGACACATTATGATTATTCTCAGAGAGCTTTTATTTTCTCCATGTTTTGTTGATTCCAGAATTGTTTCTCTATGGATGTGTTTATAAATCTCTCCCATCCTATGGTTTCATCAGTCTTAAGTGCAGGGTGGC